AAAAGACCCCCCAACATCTCAAAAAACCCTGAGAAATCTCATGACTGTAGGGGTACTTAGCAAGCTAGTAGCCTTGGTTACAACCCACTTGCTCGGCTTACAACTCCTGTAGACCGTAGGTGAAAGCCAAGCTTGTTAATTTCTTTCTGAATACCCTGCCCCTTCAAGTAGTCCAATTAACGGCCGGAACCTGATGCACGGGACCGGTCCCTTTAAAAGGAAAATGGTCCAAACCAGGACCCCCCAAACGTCAGGTTCCAAGTAAATTGGTGGGAGGGCAAGTAGGTTATGTGAGTTGTAAGCATCTGTATGTCCTTGGTTAGGACCTACTTGAGGTTGTTGAACATCCAAGTCTGCAGTTTGGGAAGCCTTCGGGAGTGTGGTGCCACACCTCTTCAACGGCCTATTCTTTGAGCTGAACTCTGATGGGGCTCTGAAGGCAACTCCCAGGTGCAGTTTTTAAATGTTGGGATACAAATCTATCGAGCATGGGCCAATCTGCCGCCAGCTGTTTTTTTTTTGTTTTTTCTTTTCTTTTTTTTAATCCAGATGAATCTGGGACTTGTCGTTCTGGAGATGCTCAAGGAACGGAAAGGGCGCTTCGCTTTGCTATTTCTGGCATGGCTTTTAGCTGTTGTTTGGTTCACTTTCAGTGAGCCCGGACAGGATCCTTACCGTTTTTTTTTTCCAGACCTCCACTGGTGCCCGTGTTCACCAGGGGAGTCCCCTTTGCAGCCGACCACACGGGTGTTTGTTTTGCGGAGAAGCCTTTGGTGCTCGGGTTCCGCACCTTTTGGCTTCCAATCCATTTCCCTTTAGTAAAGGGCTCTCGTGTGGAATGAGGTTGATCACTAAATATGCTTTATGCTCCGTGCGATAGTTTGCATGAGATGTCAAGTGTGGTGATTGAATGGTAGCAAATCTAGACAGCTAATGTATGTTCTGCAAGGAGCCTTTGGACGAGCACACTCTGGAAAACGGTTTGGATGCACTTTTTTGGATTTCACCTGTTTTCCCCCCCGTTGGCTCTTTTGTAGTACTCTGCGTTTTAGTATCCTAGATCGCGTGGATCCACAGATTCGCCACCTCCAAGAGATTGTCTAGACACACATGCTGATTCTGGACAAACTGATTCTGGCAAACCAGATAGTCTACCCTGCAACATGGCTCTGTTTGGAGACTGCTTGGAGACCCCAAAACGGGGGGGAGATCACGCAGAGAAGCTCCGAGCTCTGGGCTCTGAGGCTCTCAGTATCGCGGGCTTCAAAGGATGGCTCCGATGCATGCAGGAGGCGCTGGGCAACGTGGGCTTTTCACGGACGGCTGGTTGGCTCCTTTTGTTTGAACACCCCGCAAAAAGGCCCTGAACCATAGGTGACTTTTAAGTGTAAGTCTTTCTGGGTGTATGCAAAAAAGGACGCCGTGTTTTTGTTGCAAGACTTTGTCCGGAAAATGGCCAGGCTGAATGAAACGCTTTAGGTGATGTAGATCCCAGTGGATCCAGTTACCATAGTAGTATCTAACCAAGGGAATTACCCTTTAGAAACCAAAAGGAACATTTGCAGTGCCTGTACAGGGAACTGGGATCCGCTGAAACAGGCTTTTCGGCCATTCATATTGCCAGACTTTCTTTCGCCTGGCGCATTATTTCTTTTGTTTTGCTTCATTTCCCTGCTCACCGACTTTTCGCCGGCCGAGTTTCAACTCAAACCGAAGAGCACACGGACTTCCAGTGGTGCCTTCCCTTTTTGCCTCCCTTTCTTTTGGGGGCGCAGTGGCATGGGCGTGTCTTGTTTCAACTCATGGTTTGGTTGTTGGAGCTTTTTCTCGGAAAAGGGGAACCCCTTTACAATCAACTAGCAAAACGGGGAGCCTTTTTTGTTCATGGATTTTTGAGAAGTAGGCGGCAGGCTCAAACGTTTTCTCCTCGGGTTCCTGTTGCCACGTGTTTGGACAAATTCGGCATGCCTCAAGAATTTGCTGCTGTACCACCTTTCGAGGGCGAATCCCATGTACGTTTCTTTTACATTGAGGCAGTCTAAACAGTTCCTCTTCGACCCACTTTTGAGCAAGATGAACGATCCCTAAGATTTTGTCAAGGGAAATCCTTGATGTCGGTCTTTCAAGGAGAACCCACCGGAACGACTGAATCGGGAGCAGAGATCTTCTTCAACGAGTTCCGTGGTTGTGTTTGTGACGAAAATGGGCGCGGATTTTTGGGGTACCCGTTTCAGGTTGGTTTAAAGGGACACACCCAAAAGACAAGCACCATTTTGTTGGGTCCCTCTATTTGACACATAGCCAAATGAGGATGTTGGTCAATCACAACGCGCTCCCGGAGTTCGTGGATGTTAAACGTTATACTAACTAATTTGGGCTGGACCTTCGAATAGACCTTGGGCCAATCCCAATCGACTCACCTCTTGATAAACCGAGGGGTTCAGCTCTTTATCATGGTTTTGGGGAAAAAGCGTATCCTGATGCCAGGATTCAGTTGTCACTCAGTTGAATGTGTGCTACAAAAAGAATGGGGACCGGCCGCAAATGCCAGGGTTGCTTGCATTTCCTGAGGTAGACCATATCTCGGGAGTATCCCCAATAAGAATCGCGGCAGTTCCAGGAGAACCTTTTTCTGGCTGCTATTTGGGGGGGGGGGGGGGAACACGTGGCTGTCAAAACGAACGACCTGTTATACAGCATGCAGGTAAATTTAATCACCGGGATTTACGACCAAAGCCTTCGGTGCTTCGAGCCGCTCGCGGCGATCTCGTGCCAGGATCCTGGAAATGGCCCAGTCCAGTCAGGCCAGTCAGGCGAGCGCCGGCGGACGCGTTTTCGGGCGGAATCGTCGTTCCCGACCATTGGCCCCAAAACGAAGCACATCGATGTGTCGTTTTTGAGGGGACCTTTGGTTTTTGCGGGGACCTTTTGTCGCAAACTGGCTTTGAAGCCTTTGGTTTCCTGTTCCTCAGGAAAAGACAGACCTGCACGGGTGTGTACCTTTCTTAGAGGGTGCCCTTTGTTGGGGGGTTTAAAGGGAAACCAATAGGCACATCCCCATTCGTTGGTCCCTCTATTTGGACACATACCTATATTCTTGAGAGTCGATTTGAGCTGTTACAAAATGACCAAGCCTCATGGTCGAACATTGGTCGGTGTGTTCCTTTGGTTTCTCTCGGAGCCACTGGTTAGGAACTCGCGTCCAGCGGTTCGCCACTGTAGGTAACCCTTCGCCATTTAATTGCCTTTACTGTTTGTTCGGGTTTCCTTGGTTAAACGTTCACTCCCAGACTTTACATGTTTGGAGAAGACCATGTCAATTGCAAGCATAGAGTTCGGGCTTTTTTTGGCCAATCCGCTCAAGTGAGAATACTATACTTGAGGAAATGGGACAAGTGGGACCGACCCCTACTGCGCTGAGATCAAGACGGGCCTTTTGATTCAAGTGCCATGGGTTTCGGAATGAACCTGAAAGGAATTTACTGGGGTAGGTCTCCGATCCCAGCGACATGGGTTTGTTCTCGGGTGGGAGTAAGCCGAATCTGAACATCTTGTTCTTACCTCAGAGTTGGGCCAATTACGAAACTTCGCCTTTGGTAACCAAGGGGACAACCCCCCGCTAAACAAGGCGCAGTTTCCCTGTGTGTACTGGTAATTTACCTGTGACACCCCCTTCACAAAGGGAGGCAACTGGAACACATCGTGGGGTCTTGCTCCCGCACTTCATCTTCAGGAGCCCAAATCTGCATCCTGGAGCGAGGCCCAGACACGGGGATGTGAGAGAACGGAGAGACTCACCCGAGGCCGTGTGTGTAGAATCGGGTTTCAGTTGCTCAGGGTACTTTTTTTTTTTTTTTGGGGGGGGGGTGGGCTTTGTTGTTCAAAGGGAAACCAGATAGACACTGAGGCCCATGTCGAGTGGGGTTAGAAGCAAGCGTAAATCAAGCGAGTGGTGGTGGATCTTTGACCCCCTGCCAACAAGCGTGGGCTAGGGGCCCCAATGGCTGTCAAGACCTCTACCAGTTGCCTTCTGTGACACCCCCGTTGGCAACAGTTACCTTTTAGTTGAGAAACGCCTCCATGAAGCCGCCAAAGAAATGCCAGGCACTCCCGATGGCTGTCAAATGATCCCCAAAAGAGAAGCCAATGGAGGTGACTTCACATTTGATAGCCGGCGAGTCCTGGTTTGTGACAATCCTCGAATCCAAGAGCAGCTAGACTGGCTCAAATGAAGGGGTTTGGGGTTCCTTGTTTGTTCTGGAGAGAAGTTGCAATTCCTATTCAAGTGATGGTACGGTGGTCATTGTTGAATCAAAAGCAATCGGCAACTTGTTTTTTCACAGCAATACCCAGAAGAGACTGAGGTGGAGTCAGTTTTGCCGCGGCTCAAGGCATCGACGTTCGAGTAGGAACGCAACAAGCAGGTCCTGACTGAGCCTATGATACTCACCCACCAATGCTGATTTTTTTTTAACTAGGCGGAACATCATTTGGGCTGGTGCACCAACCACTTTGAGGTGCTTCCCTACTGAAACTAATGCCCATATTAAAGTGCAGACACGTTTTGGAGGCAATGCTTGTCTTTAGGAGAGGGAGCAGCTGCAACGAGCCATGTTTACAAGAGCCTACCTCTTGAGTTTGCAACGCTTGAACAAGGTCGTGATTCATGTTTCGAGCAACTGGTTCGCAGGAGACAGTCATTGCCACCGAACCAGCCACTTCAATGATTTGCGAGGGCATGTTCATGATTCATTCGTACGAGATCTATCCGGGTCCATGGCAGCTGTTTAGGCCCGCAGTGCCCCCCTCCCCCCCCTCAAATTGTCAGTTTCCTTTTGGTTGCGTTTTACTGCCACCAATGTCACAAGACCACCATAGTTGCCCTTCCGTTGAGCCACAAATCAGCTCTCCCAAGGGCGCGCTCACGAGAACGCCACCAGAGGTCGCTTAAAGCATTCTTTTTCAAACGTGTCAAAGGACCTCGCAAATCTGGGGTTTCCCTTCGGTTTCCCCTGAAAACCAACCTGCACAGCCCGTGCCTTGGCGCGCGCGAGAGAGTCGCGCGCTCGCCCCCGGCACCACACGGAGCCACGCTGCAGAGGCGAATCAGCGAGAGCGGTGAAACATGGCGTAGAGGCTCACCCCAAAAGGGTAGCCGGAAAGGCACTCCCTTTTGATGAGGATGATGAGGTTCGGACCAAGTTTGCTGTATTGTTTGTGCTTGGGAGACGAGGGAGGCAATAAAATACAGGTAAGGGGAGGGCGCCCTAATTGCTCCACGGTTTCGGGAACTGCACATGTTGACCGTACCTCATTTATTGAATCGGTCCTATGCGGGCCTAGCTCTTCGTTAAGGAGGGCCCGCATCCGGTAGGGCCATTTCAACGCACGTCCCATTGTTTGCTTTGGTTAAGGGGAACTCGTGGTTTTCCAGGTGGTCGTGGGGATGCGCAATTCTTTGCAAGCCCCAGCCAGCATGATGGCTGGCTCCGTTTCAACCACCAGGCTTTGAATCAGACAAAAAAACGCCTCAAGGGGAAGCCCACAGAAGGGAATTCTACCGAGTGGGGTAGGTGGAATTCTAATCACACTTTAGTCGACACAAGGCATTGGGAAAACCGAGCCGGCGAGCCCCAGAAGCTCACCTTCGAGTTGGCCTAGGCCTATAGGATTTGTTGATGCCGTTAGAGACACCAACAGCACCAGAAGAACGGTCTGAAGTTGAGTCCCCCTTTGAAAAAATGAGTTTCAACACCTTTGTTTGGAAGGAACGACCAACCCGCCTTGGCAGAAGGTGTCCCCGGAATGTCTAACAACTAACACCTTTGTAGACCCAGAATTTCTAAAAGAACAATTGTGGAACAGCCCAATTGTCAGACGTCCTGTGAGGCAAGAAGTGTTGTCCGTGGAGCACAGGAATCTTGTGGCCTTCTGAAAGACGTGGATAGATGCTGAAGGCCTTTTTCATCTCGGAGACCTGCCAAGCCCCCACCCCCCCAGCTGTGATCGTGTTGTGTGTGTGTGTGTGTTTGCGTGCCAAGAAAGGCTAGAATTTGTCACGTCCAATTCATTAGTCGGAAATGAGGAAGGCCCCAAACAGGTTGGCTTCTTTTTGGTGTCCCTGCAAACTGTGTGTAGTTGTAAGAATTAGGGTCCCTAAAACGCCGGGGTTCCTTCCCTTAAAATACCAATACCAGCAAAAAAGGGCCCTGGGGGGGTCCAGTTGAGAAGCTCCCTTGTACTAATGAGCCATAGCAAGGGGAGCCATTGGCGCTCGCATGGTGACTATTCCTTGGTGCTTCCCAGCCATCTCCTGAGGTTTTGTAGGTTTTGTAGGTTTTTAGGTTTTTAGGGTTTAGTTGGTTTAGTTTCCCCCGAAAACCACGGGGAATCGGCGAATCGGCGCTTCGTCGGCCAGGAAGGTCTTCGTGTACCCGGTGCCGCCATGCGCCTCGGAGGTCCTCACCTCGCTAGGCGCGGAAGCCGGGGTCTCCGATCCCAAAATGGTTATTCCTTTCCTTATGATTCTGATTATAATTATTATGATTCGTACTATTGTTGCTCTCATCATTATTGTTCTTGTTTGTGTTCTTTTGGTCTTTCTGGAACCTCAAACTATCCTTCAAAAAGGGAAGCCACCCATTTGTTTGGGGGCAATCACCGATTTTGATGGGTAGTTTGCGGACCCAAGTATAGTCTTAGTGTTATTATGATGATAGATTTTGGGGTGGACTCCTATGAACCTCAACCGGGAGCCACCTCTCCGGTGGTTGCTAGACATGAGTCCCCAAAGGGTACCCTATTTAAGTAAAATTTCACCCTAAATAAATATGACGCAGAATCCGAACAAGTGTTGTTTTGGCGAAATTCAGATTTGGGTTCAGGAGAAGGTATTGCAGGGGTTGGTTTTGGGTGCGCCAGGCAAGCCACTTTGGACGGGAAACGCCTGAATTGGGGCTATTTTGCAGATGGCTTCTTTCGGTTTTGTTCGTGGGGGGGGAGCAGCATAGACTCCTGGTGTCCGTGGCAGGGCAAGCAAACCAAAGCGAGCGACCTTCACTGTTCTGATTGGCGCTCCGGGAAGAGATGCTCATTCTGGAACTGGGTCCTGGAACACATCCCAGCGGCTCCTAGTATTCGCCTCAATTCCCCGCTGCGTATCTTCGAATGTGGCGATTCATATCACATACATAGCGCCTCAGGGCATGGTGAATGCTTCACCAACTAAACCAAAGCACCTCGTAAGGAGCCTTCATGAGCGACCGAAATGTGCAGGGTGACACAGATGAGCTGTCAAGCAAGGGTGGGAGCGCACAGAAATCAGGAGCCAGACTTCTGAACGGGGCGACTCCTTGGGAGTTGCCCCGCTGCTTTTATCAACGGGCACAGGGAGCCGTTCATTGTGCCAGCCCAGGGAGTGTCCTTGGCGGTTTCTGTACTCGTGCTGTCAGGTTTCTTTGTCCAGGCCCAGAAAGTTTGAGTTTGGCTAAGCACTCTGTTTGATGTGTAAATTAATCAAATCGCTTGGTGTCCAGCCCAGTTTTCAAGTTTTGGGGTCCTGCTTGAACAGCTGGTTTTGGTGAGTCTGCAAAGAGCGAAGCTTGCTGTAACCTAGCAAGGGTTGAGGAGACACCCATCTGGCAGGGTTGGGCGGAGCGCTTGTTGACACATGCTTAAACACTCCTCGTTTAGCAATCTCCTTAGATAAACCTTTGAGCCTAGGGTTTGGCTCAGTACTCCCCAGATCTCATTACCAAAGTAAATGTGCCACCCCTCAGATGAGCTTGGTTTACATTGTGCAAATGAACTGACCGGGGCAGTTGCTTTTTGAGTTTCGAATAGTTTTTAAGCCAAGCTCAGCCATTGAAATATCCCTGGAGCTTCGTCTATCCGAGCGCGCTTGCTTTTTGTGTTTCAATCCCACCCCCCCCCCCCCGGCCCCCACAGATCGCCAGGCGATGGCGCCGTAGGGCTGGATCAGGAGGCATGGCATCCAAAGTTGGCTTTCACTCACCGCTCCTGTCCTTGCCCACGTTGCCATGAATCCCTGCCGGATCCCTTTTAAAGGACCATGGAAGACCCAGGACCTTGAGAGAATCTGAGGCAGGGTAGGTTTTCGGACTGGATACTTCTTGGGACAGCCTGCGGCAAGCAAACAGTGACTGGGCCAAGCCACTCAGGAAGTGGACGATGGAGGTGCACCATACTAATCTGGGCTGGGTTCCTCTTTAGCTGACTCAGCATATTCTCGCATAGATATTGCAGACTCAACTACTTGGTTTGCCCCTTTTGCCAGTTCGGGTTTCCTTCATCATGTTTCAGTTTAAGTAACCCTCAAAGGGCCACCTTTTGGCAGGAACGTCTCATATGTTTGTGGGCGAATCATTATACTTCATCCAGATGATTTGTGGTTTGCTTCTGGCTTTTTAATTAGTCGACAATGGTGCTGTTGCCTATTTAAGGTGTATCTGATTACCTAATGGTTCAGAAAGGGAATACAGTTTGTACGCATGCTGAGTCCGGATCAACACGATTTCTACCTGGTTTACTTGCAGTAGAAGGGGCAACTGTAAACACATTGACATGAATGTAGACTCAGTTCATAAGTTCATAGTATATACATCTGCTGTTTACCTGTATCGAGACTAATAGTGACAACAATCAATAAGCATAATAACAACTATAGTAATAACAATGATAATAATGTTAATGATAATGATCATGACAATGATAATTATCATGACAACAACAAACAAAGTAATAATAACAATAACAATATTAAGGATGACAATAGTAATAGTATGAATAATAGTAATGATAATAGTAATAGTCATAATAGTACTCATAATAATGATGATAATGATAATACATATTTGTGCATATACAACATGTCTCGGTTTATGTAATGTAAATATATATATATATGTACATACACCTGTAAGCGTATATATATATACATTTGTATTTATATGAACGTGTGTATATATATAGAAACACAGCATCAAATGTACATGTATATATATATACATTTAATACATATACAGATGCACGTGCGTACCCCTTCAATGGTATAGAAGGGCCACCTCGCTTTCCAGGCCAACGCCCTGTACCTCCGCAAAGCCGCGGCGCAGCTGGGGCCTTTGCACGCCCAGCTGATGGCACGGATCTGGCGCACCGAGGATCCGGAGGAGGCGTCTCTGTCGTTTGGGTGGCTCGCCTTTTTTTAAAGGTGAGACGGGGGTTAAATTGTTATTTGGTGATTTTATGATTTGTTTTGGTGGGTGTATATGTTTTATGTGTTTTTTTTTAAACACCAACTACACGGAGGTACCATCACAACACAATGAATGGACCCCCGAACTAGCCAGAAGAAAGAGACATCACCCACCATTTGCTGGCTTCTTTCGTGTCATTTCTCGGCGTGCCAAGTTGAATGAGTCACCTTCGACGAAGTCAAAGTGAGCCACGTGTTCAAAACACGGTAAGATGAAGGTTAGTAAGGGACAGGGTTCCACTTTTTGACTACCCCAAGATGGACTTTTAACCCCAGGGGTGCTCCTTGGGGGGGGAATGAATCTAAGTCTGCCCTGCGGTGGTCAAAAGGGATAGTCCCAGCCATAAGTGGGCCCCACCTTTTTGATTCCTTACGTGGTCATTCTGACTCAAGTGAGTTTCTTTTTGGCGGGGTGTTTGTTGGAAGATGAAGCTGGGGTCTCTGCAACTCTCTTGTATTTTGGGGGAAATATGAATTTGTGTGTCACTGTTTTTGCACCATTGTCCAAGCAAAAGGATTTGCTTGACCCTTGTGACGGTTACCACTTGGGGAACCATGATCACGACCCTTATAAGGATTTTGGACCATGGCACCAGTTCTACGTGCCAAGTGTTTCCTCGAAGGGTCCTTGATTTTCCACATTTTGTTTTTAAGGGTACCCACTATTGGTTGCTTTCAATCGGAAACCGAAAGTCAAACAAACCCAATTTGGGGGTCCCGCTACTTTGAGACAAACCATATATTTTGCTTGCAATTCTTTCTGATGTGTTGTTCTGTTCTTCTTCTTTCTTTTGCCGGGGGGGGGGGTTTGCAATAGCGACTCCTGTTTTGATCACTTCCCCCCCTATGCACTCCAGAACATGGAGCTAACATATCCATGCTTGCAGGAACCCCCTTGGGACCCGATCTCTTTTTGGTTGCTCCTGTTGGGATTTTGTATTCCAGTCCCCGCTATTTGCCAGAAAAAAAGTATATGTTTGTTTGTGTTGTTTTTCTTTTTCAGTTAGTGTTTCTTTCTTCTTTCGGAGGCAATACTCGGGAGAAAACTACTTCGCTGGTCCGGAAGTTTAACTACAGAAACTCCCAGTTCTTAGTTTTTTCAGGTATGGCTTTGGAGATATGGACTTTATACATTAATATCACATGTATAAATAGCGTATGCTGTGTTACAAGCCGTTATCGATAGTGCCACAGGGTGACGTTGCTATCCGCACTTTTTTGGAAGGAGGAGCCTCAAGGACCCCGTTCGGGTAGGCCAGGGATGCGTGTTTATGCTTGGAAATGTAAAATTCAGTCTAGCAGACTCATGCAGTAGGGGCCAAGATCCTGTGTAGAAAAGGGTGTTTGGCCTCCCAGGCGCAACAACCATTAGGATCCAGATCATATTTGCCCTTCTAAGCACTGAACATCTTCAACTGTGGCTAAATATCAGATCTCATGAGCAGCGCCCACCCTCCCCCCTGTTTCTTACATTGTAGTAGGTGGTTCTACAACCTGGTTTGGTTAGGGCTATGTATGTGTTTGACACGCCTAAACCTGCAAAAGCCATTTGTCAATTCGATTTTGACACTCACATGGAGCCGGCAAAAGTGGGCAGGCGGAGCTCTTCTATATCCCGGCCTTTTTCTCCCTGCTCTTCTGGCGCGGAGACTACGAGGATTGACGGACTCAGTCGATGGTTTGCAGATGGTCATACTGTGCATGGACGAAATCCTCTTAGGCACCACCTAAGAAACACCTGAAACGATTTGATTCCGCTGTAAATACCAAAACCTGGAAATTCCAACGTGTACTTATTTCTTGTAGTTTGTTAACCTGACCTAAAATTACCGATTTTTTCAGAAAACGCCTAAATTGATGAGTTTCTGCACTTTAAGGGCATCAGAGCACTTGGGGTTTGAAGACAGTGACCTTTTGGTATTTTGCAGCCTTTTGGCCCCTGCGTGGGACGCATCCCTTTTGCAGGCGGGATTTGCGTGATGCATCAGGGCATCAAGGGATCAAGGCATCAAGCCATCATATTGCGGCGGATGCCCATATAGTAGTCGTAGATCTGAAGCATGACATTTCCCAGCACCAAAATGCGCAAAATCTACGCAAATTCGTGAGGACCCTTGCTACAGCTGCTTGAGACCGGTATCGATGCATTTTGCCGCGCCGACTTTTGTCCGCACAACGCCCGCAAAACACCGCACAACACGCGTACTGCACACGCCCGCAAATCCCAAAATCTGCTTTTTGGGTATATATCCATGCTTTTCCAAATCAGCCTATGGAGCGGCCAATTCAGCAAATTAATGGGTGGCTACTTCAACAAATCAGCGTTGGGCGACGCCGAGGCCTCGCCCAAACTTGGAACACAATGCACAAATACGTGGGGCAGTCCCGGGTTCAGTGAGAACCGGGTGGGGCTGCAGATTGATAAGGGTGTTCAGCAGGATGCGCGCATCAGCAGGTGTCAGTGCAAAGGCGCGTGCGGGGAAGGGCGCGAGGGGCAAAAGGAACATGGCACGACTAGACTTCCTGAAGCTCGCCTAGATTTTCCAAAAACGACGAGGAATCCATCAGAACGCCTAAACTTCGAAAACGACAAGGAATAAGTACGCAAAGGAATGTCCAGGAACAATGGTTTCCCACAGGTTCCCAGTAAGGGCGCCATGACCCACAGTTTGGACCATGGCACATATGAGGGTAGAGGGGACCTGAACGAAGAACAGCAATTTTGAGCTATTACTTGGTTCAAGCTACTTCAGCAGGCTAGAACCATGTGTCTCCTTTTTTGGAAGGACAAGCCCGCGTTGCACCGGGTATATAATCCGAAGCTGGCACATTCAAGTGGATCCCTTTCGGATTCTACACACATTGTTGCAAGCAAAACTCTCAGTGTCTAAGACGATTTCCACTACCCCCAAGCAACTAACCCCAAGGAGAATGGGGTACATCCATTTATAATTTGCGTTGTTAATATAATATAGTGACTACCCAACCCCTGGGGCTAGTGGTTTTGGGGCCCCATACTCTGGATGCAGGAAATCCGTTCGCACCACCGTTCCGAAAATGTGGAATTCATAATTTCCCTGTAAACTCCCGCAAACGTTATGGTTTCAACCATGGTTTCTTCAACCCCGGAACTGCGATGTCCAACTAAGTCCCCCGAGTAGTGCCCTTTTACCCTTTTTTGGGGGAGGGTTCCCCTACTAAACTAGAATACAGAAAAAAAGGGTCCCCCTTATTCTAACCTCTCTACTGGAGGACCTAGCAAATCTACTGGTTTCAAACATGGTTTCCTATGTCGGTGGTGCCTAAAACGGCAGGTCGCGCCGCCTTTCGGTTTAACGAAGGCGCTGCAGTGCGTGGTGCAGACCTTCGCAGAGCTGTCCGGGAGGTTCGACGTGTTCGGGCGGCGGAATGGGACCGACCATGTGGTGCTCTACGGCTTGGAGCGCTCTGGACGGCAGGGGTGGTACCTTCTTTGTGTATATACGCAGATATGATATACACGTGTTTATACGTAAATATGTGAGTGGACATGTGTATATATATATATATATGCACATGCATGTCAATATATATATATATATATGTATATATATATATATTCCGCTTGCGCTCTTGAGATTGCCCTTTCCAGTTTGGAGGGTAACCAACAGTAAGCCACTTCTTGTTTTGTTTGTTGTTTTTGTTTGGAGGGGGGTTGTGTGCAATAAAAGGCCTGTAGGACAGAAACTCGTTCGGTTTGAGGTGTACTGCAGCCCTACCATTGTAGGCGACCTGAACAAAACGCTGTTGGTGGTTACCCCTCAGCGACAACAAACAAGACATTTGAAATGTGGGATGCCCTTTTGGTTTCCGGTGTCCTTGTTGAGGTTGCCGCAAAAAGGATACACCCTACATCACCAGGTACAGTACAGGAAGAAACGCTTTGAAACAGCTGACAAAGGTGTTTGTTTTGGAATGGGCAATGCATCCTTCAAGGAACCCGGGCAAACTATCACAACGTTGGGGATTCTCGACGCCACCCATAGGGCAAATTACAACGCCGCCACTCGGGACGTTTGACCTTCGTCATAGCGATCCCTGTTGTTGGTTGGTGAACGTTCTGATCTGCGTCTTTCCTTTTTTAGGGGCAAGCCCCCCAAGAAAGCTGTGGCGTTCCTTTTGGTTTCCGTCTCAAACCACCAAAAAAATTGTCAGGGGGGGGTTCCCCCAAAAAGACAAAAGCGACCCATTTGGCCCATTGGAAGGCTCGAGCCGAGGTACCAGCATTATCGGTCTTCCCATGGCTTCCGCCTGGAAGACTACCACGCGGCAGCCGCCAACTGGATCGTGCACACGGCCGGGGGGGGAGGGGAATGGGTGAGGCATGTGAAGCACATCCACGAAATAGGCGAAAGAGTTACCAAGCACTTGGCCCCAAAGTGTAACCAGGGTCGGGTAAAAATGTTTGAAGATCCAGACCCCGGCCATCTAAACCCAAAGGAGGTTGCCTAAACAGTAGGCGGGGTGGGCATGCTCAAACGAGAGGTTGGCCCAACCCTAACTCAGGGGCAAATCGAGCTTGGCGCAGTAGCGAATAGTGGGGAGTCCTCCAATTTGTTATTTGGATCCCTCAAACAGTTTGCTCCCCCTGGTTCCTGAGTTCCATGACGTGCTTTCCACATATTTGAGAAACTGATAATATTAGTGGCAGTCTACTGTCCGCCGGTCTGCGCATAGCGCACTTGCACCATCGCATCTTCGCTAAACTTTGTCTATGCTTCCTTCTTCCAGCAAGAGACATTTGCCTTTAGCTTTCTTGCTGGTGCTCAGTAGGGAATGACCCAGGATGTTGGGAACTATGGATTCTTAAAGGAATCCATAGGAGATGTTTTTTTTCTTCGCGTGATTCCATTTCTCATTCCCTGTCTATCGAACCAGCAAGTTTTGTTTTCTTCTGATGTCTCCTTTTCAAGCAGCACAAATTGCTAACTCTTTGGTCTGATCAGTCTGGCCAAGATTGAAAGCCAATGGAGTGATCCCTTGGTTGGTCGTTGGCCTGCCCCTCCCCCCAAACCTTGTTGCCCTTTGCTCGTGTTTTGAGGGGGGGCCCTTCCAAATCGCCCAGAACATTGCCGCTGAAAATTGTGGGAAGTATGGTGGAATATAGGGAAGCTAGGGGCATGTTGAGAGATATGGAGCGCAGAAGGGTAAAACCAGGGAAGTGATATAGACTTTTGTACTCACGCCTACCCTATTTGACGCCGCTGAATTCAATTTGCTGTTTGGCTCGTGGGACAGCAACGAGCGCGAACCTCACCCAGTTGACTCGCCCTCCGATATGTAGGGGCGAGCTCCGGTGCATACGGCAAGAGCACAGCGCACGCCACTTCCCTACTTTTCCCATTTGTGGCTTATCAGGCCAGCCACATCCAGAGAAGCGGGCATGCTTTGGGTATTGGCACTTGGACTTAGGCAGCGCGCGTGGCCCCGCTTCATGCGTTCGAGACGTTGCAGTGTGAGGCGTAGACGTGAAACTCAAAGTCGGGTAAAGCAATGGATTTGCGTACCAACCTGTGGGCAGCGTGAGGCAAGCGAGGACGTAATTTTTCCCATGCAGTGGAATGCACACCTGCGTATCTCGAAAGCTAGGCCCGAACCACGGCAGTGCATGCATGGATTTTCCTGAAGCCACAGCAAAGACAAGAAGAAACATCCCCTCCACCCAATACTTTAGTAGGGTCGGCAAGCCTATTTGCAGGGGGACAGCTGCAGTAGCTGCTTCCTTTGGCAGGTGGCGTGTCCTTGGCCCTGCGGTGACGAGCCTGATAGCTGGAGTGTGGATCCCGGAAGCGAAGAGTGGACTTTGATCATGGATTGAAGTCCCCCCCCACTCCGACCTCCTGCCTGCCAATGCCCATTTGGGGAGCCATTCCAGATTACAGGTCGGTGCATCATATTTCATCCAAGTATCCCCTCAACCTGCTTCCCCAACATACGACCCGCAATAAGGCTTTATCAACGCCTTATTTGTAGGGGGAAGGGGGTGGATCCCAGGATTGGATATTCTTCGCTTTCTACCTTGTTTTCCTCTAACAGGTCGTTCCGAGCCTCCAACAGATGACCTTGGTTTCTTTGGTTTCCTTTTGGCCCGAGTTCCATCCCCTGTACTTGCTGCGCGGTGCCAGGCTCACGTGCCTTTGTTCACGCAAATGGCCTCAAAGTGCCGGATTCAGACTGGGATTGTGGGGTACTAAAACCTTATGAATTGTTGGGGCAATTTGCATTTTTTGAGGGTACTTTGAGGGTCCACGTCTGCAAGTTGTTAGACTCGGTGACCGCAAAATGGCTACCCCGGTTACACGAGGTGTTGCTTGAATTGGGTCACAACTAGCCACTTAAAAGTCTTCCGGACCACTTAAGTAGATTATAGGTATTTGGAGGTAGAAAGGACCCACACTTGCCAGTTTATCCGTGCAATCACCAAAGGCCCCCGCCCCGAACATTGTTTGGGCAATATACCATGTTTAAGAGCCTTTGAGGGTCTGGGAAGCTTGTTCCGGCATCTTGTTTCCTTTGATTTGGCCGCCGCATGTCTAAGTTGTTAGCAACCTAATTCCCGGAAAGTGGCATTTAGCCCCACCGTCAGTGGTTGTAACCCAGGTGGCGAACCGCTGACTAACTGCCCCTGCGGGGTTGACTCCAATTTTGGCTAAGTCAACACGCGGGAATTGGAGGTAAGGGACAATCGACATAAATGCGTGCGGATCTCCGTCTTTTCA